TCCCTTCCAACCCCACCAGTCTGCGATTCTGGGATTCTGCTCTTCTGCTTTCTAGAAGAGCAGTTTCATCCTAGTGCAGAGATTTTCTTCCAGAAAGCTTTATCTGCAATTTCAGGACGTGGGAATGGCTCAATGGACAGAGCACCATCAGCTTCTGGTACAAAGGAATTGCCCTACTCATCCTCCCACTGCTTGTTGATGTTGGTTTGTAATTATTCACTCCACTGTGCCAGTCTGGAGTACACGTGGCCAAACCCCAGCAGTGATTTCCAACACACACACACTCAGTTCATAGCCCTGACCTGCACCGTGGTCTCTCTGCTTACCTTGGTCTGGACAATCTGGGGGGGAAATTCACTCATTGCGTTCATCAGCCACCCTTCCAAACTCTTGGCAAAATTACGAATCGCCTGTGTAAGTGTGCCTGCAAAGAACTCTGCAGAGTTAGAAAGGCAGCTCCCTATCGTCTTTGGACATCACCTCCTAGTTTAGGACTGCTGTGGAAAGCACAGCCTCTGCTCTGGTTAGCCCAGATCTCCATTTAGCATCAAGGAAATCAGCTGGGTCCTGAGATGGATGCACTCAAACTTATTCTTTCTTATTCTTATTCTTATTCTTATTCTTATTCTTATTCTTATTCATTTTCTTATTCATTTTCTTATTCTTATTCATTTTCTTATTCTTATTCTCTTGTTCTTATTCTTTCTTATCCTTTTCTTATTCATGGTCGTTCTGAGCATTTTCCAAATGTTGGAATATGCTCTTTAATGACACACACGTGCCCCAGCATGTAGACTGACAACAGCAGCTCAGAGGGACGTGGCTTTCCAGTCTGCTTAGCTCAGTCTGGGGCTGAGTTGAAGCCTCGAGGAGACTGACATGACACACACACTTCATCAAGGAGCCAAACGAGACAGAAACCCTCGATATCCCATCACTAATCTCCCAAAGGGAAATTGACCCCAGATTTCCAGGAGATGCAGTAGAGGACATGATGGTCCTACATAAACAAAGATAAAATCTCCAAGGAAACATCTCAGAAGGATTCGCTGTGCTTCCTTGTGAATTAAGCTTATGCTTTTACCTTGACTCCTACCCAAAGTCAGGAGATGTGATATACAATAAACCCAATTTTAAAAGCCATGGGAATTTCAGGGGCCATAAAGCACCACTGACACAGAGCAATGATGCAGGAGGAATATTGCTGTTGCCATAATATTTTAGCTTGTATTCAAAACAAAAACCTCTAAATCAGCTTTTACAATGGAAAGCTTTGTGGCAAGTGGTAGCCAGGCTGAGTGAGTCATGGATGGCTCCTTGTCAGACACAACCACCCATGTTCACGCTGGGGGATACTCACTGGGCACCGGTCTGAGCACGTCTGGGATGAGAATCTCCACCAGGGCCTGGTACAAGATGTGATCACAGCTTCTCATCCATTTGAGGATGGGTTCGTATTTGCACAGAGTGATCAGCTTATCTTTTGGGAGGGTCCCTTCATGTTCTTCTTCGCTGTGGGAGGAGGAGGAGGGAGGCAGCCTTAGCAGTAGGTTTGTATCCAGTGCATTCACCCTTCCTCTTGATTTCTAACCCCAGTTTTCAGCAGAAAAAAAGCCATTCCTGTTTCTTTCAAAAGGAAATGTCTGATTCCTTGTACAAGCCTTGTACAAGGCACCCTGCAAGTGCCTCTCCATCCATGGGGTCAGACCTCTGACCACAGTTTTCCCTCAAATCTGCATCTCCCAGTGCTTGGCCTGGCTGCCTTTTGCTGCTTCTCTCTTTATCCTCAGTTCCTTTTGCACTCGTGTTCATGTGTATGTGGGATTTGTACTTCAGCAAGCAAAGGTTTAGCTGGTTCCTCTGTACAGACCCCACTGTTTCCAAAACCTTCACACCTCTCCCCTCTCCTCTAAACCTCCTCAGCTGTGGCAGAGGGGACAAACGTTTGCAGCACACGTTGTTTGAGCAGATGAGCCAGTACTGACAGATAGTACAAATAATTTCCAGGTGTTTAACACCTTCAAATGCTGAATGTTTTCAGAAGGAAAAAAACAATTGGTGTTTTCATGAGAACAGAGTCTGAATGAGGCCAATCCAGCTTGCATTATTTTCACTTTATAGATGCATGGAAACTTTTTCTACATGATTAAGGCAGAAGATATTTGGTTATATAGCAAGTAAAGAAAACCAAAGCCTTAAAGCACTGCCAGAGCATCAGAGCAGAGCTACAAAGACACTACACTGGGAACTAGGAATTTGCAAGGGACTTTACCCATGTATTATATCAAAACCATTAAATCCAAGCCTTGGACATACTATAAAGAGGTACTTAGAGCCTCTGCCTGAGTGGTTTTAATAAATGAACTCCACAGGCAAACTCCTGGAACACTCACATGAAGAAACTGGCCATCAAGTACCTGAACTCCTTATTAAATGGAACTGTATTCTGCATTTTATCATGCTTTCAAATAATTTGCCACTTTGATAATCACAGACAATTTTAATTCAGGCAATTCAGTCACGTGGTCTGTGAAGCTGTATCACACAGTGTTTTCTAAATTCTTTTATCTCTACAAACTTAAGAGGACTGATCACTGAATTCAAAAAATGTCAGTTCCTGCAGGTATCACGGAGTTACTTCATATTTGCAAAGAATGGACATTTTCTCTCTCTTTTCTAGCTCAGTTCCTCTACCAGTTACGCTAAGGAATAACATATTACTTTGTAAAAACATTATATTTGTATATTCAAAGCAGGGAGTGCTTTATTTCCCTATCTTGATGATCAGCAGTGGCATGGAGAGGTACCAGAGCACCCAGCCTTAGCAAGATATGTGAGTTTAGACAGAGCCCTGCAGAAATGCTGCCTCCAGTACCCAGTGAGCCTGTTCGTGCCGAGCACAGCTCTCTCGGGGTGTTACAATGTGCCTTGGAGATACACCCTTATAAGTAAAAGAGATTTTGAAACAATCCAGCAAAGCTACAGTGATTCTTTGTGGGGAAATATCCATCAGGTAACATCTACTGAGGACAATAGGGCCATATTCTAGAGATTATTATGGGGTTTTTGCTTATTACTCAAACTTTGACCATTTTTCTTCTGAATATACAATGTCATTATCAGAAGTCCTTATATAATCAGTAGAAGTGGACAGTACAGAGACTTTTAATACAAATTTTAACAAGAAACCTTCACCTTTTCAATTTCCTCTATCTTCACTTATTTCCATTCCCCTGTCTCTTGGCAGCAGACTACCAGTACATAAAGGATGAAGGAAAGGCAGTAACAATGATCCAGACAGGAGTACAAAGATCAGAGCAGCTTCTTTTGCCATTATCTGCCTCAAAACACGAGGCACTGAAAAGATTTGGACAGCCATCCAAATAAGCAAGTCAGTCTAGATGTCACTAAAAGCTCAGAGCCTGAGATGTCACTCAAGACTGACACTAATGACATGGAATCATTACTGTCTGCCCCCTCTGACCATGTATGAAAGCATCATCCCATTCTCACCCATCCAAATGCTCTCTGAATTTTGGATTAGCACTTGTTACAGGATGTATAAAAACATAGATGTATGTAAAAAAAAATCCAGATGCTTTCCTTGAGGGTCTGAACTTCGTGTGGTCATTGAGATATTAAGCATTTTTGATGCTCTTTGTAATGATTCTGCAGGGAAATAAATACTTTCAAGTCCTACAAAGCCCTCGAAATGCCTAACGAAGCTTAAAAGACTTGATGTGTTTTTAAAAGATAAGATATCACTAAAAAAACGGGCTATTCAGAAATAATGAAAGCACAGCAGTGTACCTGGATGGCAGAGCAGCGGAGCCATCACTAGATGGTGTTTTAGGACTCCAGAAGGATTGCCACAGTTTCTCAATATAATGAAATTGAAGATTCATTACAACATCCAAAGTTGCCTGACAACAAAGAACACAACTCATTAGCTGCTCTGCTAGCACCTTGTCACACAGTCTGAGCATAAATTTCATGTGCTGCTATTCAGATTAAATAATTTACAGGAAAGATAACGGAAAGGGCATTGTTTTAATAATCAACATAACATAAAACAATTCTCACAATTAAAAAAATAATATAAAATGCAATATTTGAGTTGTAATACCTGGCAGACCAAGCATTCCCCATTATATTCTACGTTTTCTTAAGAGCAGGATATGAGATGAGCACATGAATTATGTCCCACATCAATTAATAAATCAATATAAAAATATGCAAAACAATCACCTCGCAGTGTCGCCTGTAAAGAAGCTGCAGAGTTTTCACATCATTCATGGTGACCCCTTCTTGTAAAAGGATGTTCCCTAGATCAGGGGCTGGGAACTCGGGAAAGACATGGGTTACATCTGGGGAAAAACAGATGGGGAGAGATGGTGAGAGTTCAGAGAACTACAGATGAGTACAGGGTGCTGCTGTCGCTGGTGGCTATCTTTCCTGTTTCAATTGGGATGAAACAGAAGAAATGAGATGGATAATCTAGTATTTTCCCAATTCATGCTGTTATACAGGGCAAAAAGCAAACAACTGCAGCCTGTTTGGTTCAGTGTGGAAAAGAAAAATGTTTTCTTTCTCTCTGTAATAAAAGAAACAGGAATACATTGTCCTCATCTACAACACTTCCCATTAGATTTCTCCGAAGCCTGAGAAATGTCACTCTGGTATTTTGAGAACAGAATGACAAATATAATTGGACAGCAGATATATCAGGAGCAATTGTCTTTCAGAGAAGGCTCAGAGCTGGCTGGGATTGAGTATCTCTACTAGAGATGATGGAGACATGTAGATCCACAACCAGCAAAGCCAGAGAGCTTGTCTCCCAAGGAGAAGGTCCGTACGGATCATCTGCAGTTGGATACATATTGCAGCCTTTGCTCTTCTCCCTCCAGCTGCCTGTCTTAGCAAAGCTCTTCAGGATCTGCACTTCTTCCATCCAATCTGGATAAATCTGGATGGATTAAAAACGTACTAAGAGGGAACCAACAGACCTGATGGCACAAGGAAAAAGGCTTCCTGTGGGTATGGGAGACAGCAAATGGACTTAGCAAGTGTGACGTTACAAGAGCTTATTAGAATATACACTATATATAGTGTATTTTAAAAATATAGTCTATGATATATACATTACAACTTAATAGTATATATTACATATAGTGTATATATATGCATTATGTATTATATACACAGGACATGTTGTGTGTGTGTATATATAGAAAATATATAATACTGAAGATTTATTAAAGAAACAAGCAAATGAAGAACAGCAAGGTCCAGCTGGACAAGGTGTTTCCTTCTCAAAGCTCTGAGCCTAGATGTGAGATATCTAACACATGAAAGAGGTCTCCTCACCTATGAATTGCTGATGATGTTGACTTTGAGCAGCAACCGATTGCTCCGGGGTAGTGTGTGGGTTACTATTGGAGCCAGTCTCTGCCATGCCATCCATCTTCTGCACTGGTCTGTACCTACAGTGAGAGTGTGGCTTGGGATTTACACAGGCACGAGCAAACACGTACACGTTATTTACAACACAGCCACGCTGAGTTTTGTATTGTCATGTAATGCATGAGGTTGCACTCACAGGCAGCATTTTGTGGGCTGATCATTTATATCACTTACTTAAGTGGAAGGGGAAAATGAAAACCTCCTTTTGAAAAGCATTCCCCAAGACAGAATTAAAGGAGTTAAGAAGTTTGCTCAAGGTGACACCAAAAAAACCCAAAATGAGAAGCAGAGCTGGAGTGAGTGCCAGAGTGCAGACTTTGTCTTGGGAGCTGATTTTTGCATTTAGCATTTACTTTCTATTTGGGAGCTGAAAAAAGAAACTCTTCTGCTCCTTCTTCACTCCAGCAAGAACCAGAAGTGACCATGCTTCCAGGAGACAATTCCAAATTCCTTTGCCCATTGTGTTTTATATTCAAAATTACTTGGACACAAGACTAATCACAACACTGTTGCACAACAAAACCCAACATCAACAAAAAACAACACAAAACCCCAAACAAAACCCCAAACCCACCCAAGCACAACACAAGCCCCCCAAGTTCTTCACATTGATTTGGCACAAATAGCTTCATAGCTGAGGTCCTGTAACAGTTTGGTCACAGGGATGCTGTGAGAAGCAGCACATACGGTAGCACTCTGCATAGCAGCAGGTTGAATTGAGCCACTGGCAAAGGAAAGAGGCAGATAAACCCCATTTCATAAAATCATGGACTCATGGAATGGTTTGGGTTGGAAGGGACCTTTAAATGTCATCTAGTCCAACCCCCCTGCAGTGAACAGGGACATCTTCAACCAGATCAGGTTGCTCAGAGCCCCGTCCAACCTGATCTTGAATGTTTCCAGGGATGGAGCTTCTACCAGAATTGGTTTTTGTACCATTCCACTACTCCAAGTGGCCAGTGACTCGCAGCTCCCTCTTCCACAGCTCAGCTCTGGCACTTCAGCAACACTTGAGTTTGAAATGTCCCAACACATTCCCTTTGCTCCCAAGCGAAGCCAAGTCCCAAGTGGGGTCTGCTGCGTTCTTTGGGAAAGGACCTTTGCCCATGGCAGTGTTGGGGACACCACCAGCGAGCTCCAAGATGATACTGGGAGCACCTACCTTTGCTTCTGGTGGATGGGTTGCTGCCTCATTGCCATGTACTGGGTGTCCTCCTGCAAACGGTTCAGCGGAGACTCTGGCTTTAGACGGATCCCGTAGTAATGATATTTGGAGTTTCCCCTGGAAGTATCAGTGTTGAAAGTGTAAGTTAGTCAATGGAAGGGACATCACAGCCCTGCAATTTACTCTGAGGCTTGATTTGACACTACACCCTCCTTCTGACAGCACATCTTGGTTTGCTGCCAAGCGCTGTTTGAATGGCTGAACGAAGGAACTAACGAATGCCATCATCCCCTATAAAATTTAAAACCACATGTCACAGAAGTTCAGTGACATCCACATTTAAAACCCAGCAAGGTTTGTTCCAAGTAACCCATGGTAACTGGAGAAGAAGAGACAAGTGTAACAATACAAAGTGTTACTAAACAGAATGACAGAAAGATCTCAAGGGACACTTTACGATTTGATTAGGGTTTAAGGATTTGTTTTTTCCATGAAAACAAACTTCCATCTTTATCTAGACTTGGATAAAACAAGCCTGACTGAACAGTCAACTACGATAAGAAAAATGTCTTTCCATTGCCAGCACTCTCACAGCAACTGCAACAGGCTTTGATGTGGCTTTGTTCTTGGAGTTTTTGCTCATTTTTGTAAAAACTGAAAGCTTTTTGCAAGCAAAAGAGGCTGGAATTCTCTTTCCTTTGCTGGTCAGTAAAGCTGCTGTGATGCTCCTCAGGAGAATGTCTTTCCATCACATTAGACAGATGTGTCAGTTCAAGTTTTTCCACCAAACTAGAATTTTTCAATCCCCAAGTGTCTACTTTTGAGAGCGAGGAGGACAATTATGCAGCCATGGATACATGATGACTGTGTCCAACGTGGCTTTAGCCAATTTGTCACTAACAACAGCTGAGCTGAGTCCTCAATGGGAGAAGAGACCGAGCTGAGGGAGCAGCAGCAGGGTCTCCAGAGGTCTCCATCCTCCCTCTGGTTGAGGATGCTTAAAACTTGTTTGCTGTCTCAGTATGACAGGGTCTGGAGGCACCTCAAATCCAATGGTGCTTCCTACTGGAAAATTACATTGGGAAATTTAAGAGAGGAATATTACTCAAAGAATTAACCCTTTCTTCTTCACTGGGGGAATTTCTCTTTTCAAGGGGATGGTTGAATTGTTCAGTCTTTGTCACTGAACCAAACAAAGGGCTTTACCCACACAGAGCACTTAGGTATGAATTATGCTTTGGTCATGTCTTAAGTGATTTTAAGTGCCTGCAAATTAAATAACATCTGTATTTATAATATAAATTAATGAATAAGAAAATAAAGGTGGGCAGCTATTTCCACATTTATTGAGGTTTACTGTATCCTTCCCAGCCTGCACAGTTGCAATTTTAAATGAGTTTTTTGTTTGTTTTCTCTTTAATCCTTGATAGGATTGAAAAATTTCTCTCCTCTAAAGAAATTATTTCAGAGCTCTTGCACTTGAACCAAGGTAGAGAAATCTAAATTCTCCCCTGCTCTTCCTACAACATTCCAGCTGTGGAATGCCCCGGACACATCTGGTTTTGTTCTCTTTTTGAATCGAAATATCTAAGCTTGAATTTTATTATAAAATCTTACATAATCAGAGCAATCACTGTTTCTCTAGTATATTAGTGACTTTTTTAAAATGAGAAGCTGGGATAAAATGCCAACTCGGCTGCACAAGCTGTGCAGATACTTTGGATGCTCCCTTGAAGGACACATATGTAATTACAGCAAGTATATTTACTCCTGTTACGCTTTTGTTATAACATCATACAGATCTTTGATGTTTTAAAAGGAAAAAATTGTCACAAGATTCAGCCTGCTGCTTTGGGAATTGAAGAAACAAACTATTTACATCCGTACAGCTTGTCTGCATCAAAGATGTGAATCATAGAATCATAGAATGGTTTGGATTGGAAGGGACCTTAAAGCTCATCCAGTCCCAACCCCCCTGCCAGCAGCAGGGACACCTTCCACTAGACCAGGTTGCTCAAAGCCTCATCCAGCCTGGCCTTCAACACTTCCAGGGAGGAGCAGCCACAGCTTCTCTGGCCAGTCTAGGACACTGTCTCACCACCCTCACAGTGAAGAACTTCTTCCTAATATCTCATCTAAACCTCCCCTCTTTCAGCTTAAACCCATTTCCCCTTGTTTTGTCATTAACTGCCCTTATGAAAAGTCCCTCCCCAGCTTTCTTGTAGCCCCTTCAGGTACTGGGAGGCTGCTATGAGATCTCCCCGGAGCCTTCTCTTCTCCAGGCTGAACAGCCCCAACTCTCAGCCTGCCTTCATAGGAGAGGTGCTCCAGCCCTCGGATCATCCTGGTTCTGTCCTCATCCATGATGGAGGAACTTTACTGGGCCCAAAGGGACAAATTGTTTCACTGCATCAGAATTTTGGGCTCTGCAGTTGATGGCAGCAATTGTGAAGATGAGTTATTTCATCTTTTTGAGACAGTAATGGGATGAGAAGCAGCCTAAGTTCAAATACAATATTCTGAGATTCCTTAGGAAATGGACTTAAACCAAATTCCACTGTGTGGCTGGACAAGACACTGTCACCAGTGACCTGGAGCATGTCTGAAATTAACTGTGTTCTCAAGCCTCTCACACCACTGATTCACGGTGAGAAAGCAGCTTTACCTCACAACACACAGAAATTACCTCTGTGCCTCAGAACAGCGATTTTATTTCCCACAAGATCAGAGTTGGTTGTTTCTGTAGATCTTGGAGGAAAGACCTGTGCCTGCTAAATGATGCTCGGCAGGTTCTCAGGTTCTCAGTATGTGTGAGAGAAGTTGTAGGAGCTTTTATTTTTGTAAAAACCCATAGATTCATACCAACCTGGTTCCCAGACGGCGAGTCCTCAGCCCCATGAACACTGAGCGGATCAGTTTTCCGAAGGAAGCGGCGTTCACTGGATCCAGTTTGTGCTCCTGGCAGTGCCGCAGGTAATGGTTGTAGAGAGAGCTCCTGGGAAGGCTGACACCTTCCGCTGTCTCATAATTGTCCAACAACCACTGGAGCTTTATGTATGGAAAATAGAAATAAAGAAAGAACACATGAAAGTCTAAAGAGAGCTGGAATGGGCTGTGGAAACAAATAAAAACACTTAAATGTCAGGAAAGTCCACCTGACATTAGGAGTTCAAGAGAACTTAATGCTGGGCAGTTAACTTATAGAAGTTCATTTATAGAACTTATGCTGGTTGCATATTTATAAAAGTAAAAGGACTCCCAGCCCAAAGCTAATAAACCCCCCCCCCAAAAAAAAATGCTGTCAGATTTTGCATGAGCATTAAAACATAGTTCACCTGTCATCTCAGTGTCCACCTCGGATCTAGATGAATTCCTGCAGAGCCAAATTAAAACCCTAAGAACTCATGTTTTCCAAGAATCTTAAGAATTCTTAAGAATTCTTAAAGAATCTTAAGAATCCAAGATATCTTAATATCTTTATTCTTGGAGAATTCTTGGAGAATTCTTATTCTTTAATCTTAAAATTCTTAAGAATTCTTTATTCTTGGAGAATATTCTTGGAGAATTCTTATTCTTTATTCTTTAATCTTAAGATTCTTAAGAATCCAAGATATCTTAATATCTTTATTCTTGGAAAACATGAGTTCTTAGGGCTTTAATTTGGCTCTGCAGGAATTCATCCAGATCCGAGGTGGACACTGAGATGGCAGGTGGACTATGTTTTAATGCTCTTGCAAAATCTAACAGCATTTTTTTTGGGGGGGGAGGTATTAGCTTTGCATTAAGATACCACCTTAGAGGAATAAATTTTAGAGAAAGCAAATATGCTGCAAAGTCTTTATTGATTTGAAGGTTGGCATGTCTGCAACTGTTCGCTTAACAATAAAATGGTTACCAAAGCAACCTTAAAAATCTGAGGGGTTCCATCTATTTTTCCAAATTTACTGTCTGAACTTCTGCTGACATTTCTGTTGATGAAAGTTTGCAATTAATATAAATTATTACAACCAGTTGGTCTGAAAGGGCAGGACCAGCACACAATGTCAGCACAGGAATTAAAATGCAGAAAGAAAAAAACCCCAATCTGCTTTAATTGGCTAAATTATTTCAGCATCAATAAAATAAGTGTTATATTAAGTGAATTTTTTAAGGAACTAGATGTACAAATAGATTAAAATCAATAGCTTTGCTAAAAGCCCTTCCATTGTCATTAGGGATTAACACTTTCAGGACATCCCTCTCCATCCAGACCTCCATCCCTGCACGCCCAGGAGGCACAGCTCCACCAGGAGCAGCTGCGTTCACACCAGATCAGTGGCAAAACAGACTCAAGGTTGTGGATGCAGAAATATCAGCCACATCATCTCCTTACAACACACAGTTCAAGCACATATTGTAATTAATCACAGACTTGGCCTAGAAATCAGTGGGATTTAACCGTGCACACGGATGTACAAGTTGGCCCATGCTTAAGTCCTCTCCACTTGTACTCCAGTATCTGGGTCTCTTCAACCATTTTCTCACAGAATCCCAGACTGGTTTGGGTTGGAAGGGAACTTAAAGCTCATCCAGTCCCAACCCCCCTGCCAGCAGCAGGGACACCTTCCACTAGACCAGGTTGCTCAAAGCCTCATCCAACCTGGCCGAGAACACTTCCAGGGAGGAGCAGCCACAGCTTCTCTGGCCAACCTGGGACACTGTCTCACCACCCTCACACCAAACAATTTCTTCCTCACATCTCATCTCCATCTCCCCTCTGCCACTTTCAAGCCATCACCCCTTGTTCTGTCACTCCCTGCCCTTGGCCAAAGTCCCTCCCCAGCCTTCCTGGAGCCCCTTCAGGTACTGGGAGGCCGCTAGAAGGTCTCCCCAGAGCCTTCTCTTCTCCAGGCTGAACAGCCCCAACTCTCAATTCTCTTGGTGAATCTTTGGGGTCCCAATTCACCATTATATTATTCGAGTTTCATATCAATAATTCTGTGAAAATACAACCTGAAATGTGCAGTGACATCTCTGACGCCTCGCGCCACTGAGTTATTTTCAGTTCATATATTTTATATCCCACTTTGCTCTCACACAAAGGCTTTTCAGCCATGTCCACGTGGTTATTGTTCACCTCTCCAAATTGAAACTTCAGCTACGTAAAACAAGCTGAATCCAAAGCTGTACAACTAAAACTATTTAATTCATTAGTTGGGTTTGGTCCAAAGCAACCACAAGTTCAAATGACTGGATTCATCAGTTCTGGTGGCCTTTGGAGCAGACCATGGGCTGCCACAGCAGAAAAACCTCTTGGCCATTTTCCCTTCTGTCCTGCTTTTCATAGAGCTCCTTGTCACCTTCCCACCTTCCTCCAGTGACATGTGATGTGTTTTTCCCACAGATTAAGACCTTCCTGGCCTCCAAACCCTACAGTCCTAAGAGGTGGTGTTTGCTAATGATTCGTGTCCCTTTATGCTCTCATCTGCAGCAGAGACCTCCCTGGGACACCCTGAAAGCCCGTTTTGTAGCCCTGAACCTCCTGATGGATCCACCCATTAAGCCATCTCTATCAAAAGTGGAACTCAGTGGTTGTGACACCAAAGCCCAGCAGGACCTCTGGTTTTCAGCAGTCCTCATCAGTGCTAATTTTTGGCCCATCCTCTGTATTTAAAAGATTAATGATGAAGAAGGTTCTGTTTTATTTTTTCACTTTTTCTTGCATTTATCCTATGGAACATACTGAATGTGGATCAGCTATTTATTTTTTAAACCTGTGCTAATTTCAAGCTATAAAAAAAGAAGTTACGTGTTACTCTGGAAAATTCAGATACAGGTAAAACCCTCGCATTTAGATTTGATCCTGGGCATTTTTAGTCTCATCTCAGCTATTTCTAAAATATTCACTTCATCATCCAGCTTTTTTTTTCTGCAAGTGTCTTTTTATAAACCTTTAAACATTACAGAGTTTCACAATATGAACTCCCACTAGTGAATTAGAAATCTCTTACGTGCAAAAGAGCTTGAAAAAGAAATCTGTCAGAATAGAAATAATTCTCAAAACATGATTTTTGCTCTTCCTGCATTAGTAATAACAGACTGGGCATTTCAAATGAGAACATTACAGATTCTTTCCATTTGCACCCTTTATTCTGTTTACTTTTTGAATTTTGCTGGGTTGTGACAATGCCAAGGTATTCTCCACTTTCATTTCTGTTTATACGACAATCAGGTTTCAATAAAATCACTCTGCAGCCATGTGCTGATTTGTTTGTTACAGGCACTTACAGGGGAACATTTCCAGCTCATTTCTACTTTAACTTCACTTCTAGTGACTGTTTCTTTTGATTTTTTTTAAAAAATCATAATCTTTAGCCTGCCTTTCTCCACTGAGCAGGAGATTCATCCTTCATTAGGTCACTGCATTCCTCCCCCAGCCAAGGGAGAATTATTCTCTTTACGAATTTTCCTATTTCTCTCTTCAGTCTCATTTTAGGTGTTTCCATCTAAACACCATTTGGGGTAATATCTTGTCCTGAGGGGAAGAACTCCATCAACGCTTATCTAAGAGCCATTCACCCACAGGGAAGAAGTCCAATGGTTTTTTGAGGGAGTTATTTTGGGGTTTTGTTGGTTTTTGTTATTTTTTGGGGGTTTTGTTTTACAGGCAGTGAGGAAAAAATCCATTTTCTCCCTATTCCTATGAGCACTGTGGATATTTAGGAGCTGCAGGGCCTCAGGCAGGTTATAGCATCCAACTATTTCCTTAAGTGTCCAGCTTTCAGCACTCGTGTACCATAATTATAGTCATTTTTCTCAAATATCTTTGCATCATCTGCAAATTCATCATTGGCAAAGAAATAATCCCCTGACCCAGCGATGCTGGAGCACACTCGTGAGCAGAGCTTTTTCAGTGACAGTCATAGATTGACATGATTTCATTAGAAACATCACATGTCACTGGGGTATTAACATCAAGTTGGGCTTCTATATTTCCTATTTCAAGTGTGCTTTAATAACCTCTCCAAGAGTTTTTGAGGCTAAATGAAGTTATCAAGTGTAGTTCCATTGACTGTGCTTCAACAGCATTATGTAAAAAATTCCCTCTTGACTGAGATACCTTTAGTTTTCCTTTGTTTTTTTTAAAAAAAAACCCTAAACCAAACCAAAACCAAAGATTCCTGGCATGAAACATCTGCTGATGGCAACAAAATAAACCATGATCCTAAGAATTTACAGATTTGCAAAACGTGACGTTGAAAATGAGGGACAGAACATTTAATGAAAAAACTTTGCAACCTTAAGACTAAAAGCAATTCAGTCACAACCAACAGTGCAATGAGCATTAATTATCTCACCACTTCCTCGGCCACCAGCTTCTGTCAAGCTCATCTTTTGCTTTCAGCCTTGACAAATCAGTCACCTGCTGCTTCACCTTCTGGTTCTCACGTGCAAACCTGACAATATCTTGTGTCAGTCACACAAGCATTTGGGATAGGTAATCCTCTGTCTGGATTTTGGGGGTTTTTTTGGGGTTTTTCAACATAAAGAAGTGGGAACTGAAACATCCTGGAGAGCAGAAACCCTTGTTTCTGCTTGGGAAACCCATGCAGAGAGGTTCAGCGCCGCCCGCTCATCGGGCTGTCCCATACACTGCAGTTGGGAGCAACCTCTGGCAGAGTCCAGTCTCCAAGTGGTAGAAGCCCCATCCCTGGAAACATTCGAGGTCAGGTTGGATGGGGCTCTAAGCAACCTGATCTGGTTGAAGATGGTCTAGATGACCTTTAAAGGTCCCTTCCAACCCAAACCGTTCTGTGATGATTCTGTGACTCCAATCCAACCTCCTACTCAAAGCAGGGCTCACTTCCAAGAGTGGTCAGGTCCCTCAGCTCAGGTAAATGGATTGTTCAGTCTGCACAACCTTCCCAGGCAATAGCATGGACCCTCCTCCAGCTCTGGCAAGAAACTGCCTGATCCAGTTCTGCAGTGTGCTGCGTTTCCTACAGGCACTGCTCACACCATCACCTCCTCGTTATTCCCACATGTCTGCAGCCATTGCTCCATGCTTTGGGAAGGCAGAGCAAGGACACTGGAGGTGCACAGGGCACTGGAGGTGCACAGGGCAGCAAGGGCCTCACAGGTTTCCTTGGCTCAGGCTCTGCACCTTGGCAGAGGGAATTACCCACCCCAGCATCTTGCTTGTGCCTGGACTGCCATCAGCAGCAGGGACAAGAGGAGAGCTGATGTATACACACATGCTTGGGAAGTTGTTTATTTGCTTTAGAATTTGTAAGAGAACTTAAGCCTTTTGCCAAACTATGAACCTCAGAAGAGAGACATCAAGCTCTTTACTTCTACCCTGCAAGACAGGGTGGGGAAGATCTGATCAGAGGTTGGATCAGGCCCCAGCACCATCCTGCACAGCCTGAGGTCAGATGAAACCTCTTCCCTATCTTTGCTTTCCTTCCTCTGCCCTTTTCTTGCTTTTTTTCAAACTTCCAACACCACACCACGACCCATGCCATCCTTACCCACGCTGTCCCTCTCTGCACTGAGATGAACAAGAAAAATTCTGCAGAGCAACATCGTTAGACAAATCTGCACAGCACGTGGGGCACAGCACGGGCATGTGAGCACGGCCACAGCCTGGGACAGGAAGGACACACAGAGAGGAACTACCAGTATCATTCTGCAGGTTTGTGTTTCCCCAGTTACAATAAAGAACCTTCTAGAAGCTGAAATAAGGATCAAGCTCATCTTCTAGAAGCTGAAATCTTCTTCATCTTCTAGAAGCTGAAATAAGGATTGAGCTCATCCAGGAGCCCTGGCTTGGAGTTTAACATCAGCTTAAGAGAATCACACTGTTGGGTTTAATGTTCCTTTCATTATCTCAGGCTATTTCTCTAGGATGAAGAGGGCAAAGATTATTATTTTTTTTTTTGCAGGACTGTAGAATGACAACAGATCTGCCCCCAAACACAAAGCAAAAGGAAATCTGTTAGAATAAAAAAAGTACCACTTTGTGCACTGTGATTTCTCAGTGCAGAACATGCTTCGGTTTAATCCAAAACACAATGAAGCCAAAGCAAGTCCAATGACTTCACCAGGACTTGAGTTAGACCCTTCAAATCTCACCCAAGCATGCACTCACCCATTACTGCATGGGAGCCAGAAACCAGGATGCAGAAGGCCCAGTAGAATAGTGGGAACTTCACACAAAGCAGGGAAATTGTTGGCATAGTGAGAAGAAAGAGGTCTAGCACATGGATTTAGCAGAGCATTGTGGCAGTGATGGCCTTCCTGAGGCACAGAGAGAGGCAATAAAGGCACTCACAGGAGAAGGCTTTTGGTAGCACCAAGAGATATCTGTGGTGATTCACACCAAGTTATCGCTGTAGAACTGCGAGTTACTTTCCAGCCATCTTTCAATTCCAGGGAAAGGAAAAAACTTCCTCAAAATTTATCTAATTGCCAGCAATTTCCATGGCAAGGCAGATGAAATAAATAAACATGGGGTAGAGGCATGTTAAGAGAATCCAGAGCATCTCATAAACAAACATGAACATGGTGATATATTTGTTGGGAACGGGCTGCTTTGGGTAGCACAGTTGAAGCACAGGTTGCTTTGAGTGGCTCGTGCTGTTGAATACACCAAAAGGTTACAAATAATGTTCCTACCAAAGGGGGGAAAAAGAGGTTGTAAATTCGGATTTGTAACTTACATGGCTGTTGAGCAAACTGCTTTTGTGTGATGTAATCCCTTCATTTTTTTGTAGGTTTTCAATCGCCATTTCAAGCTAAAGAAAATGTGTGCAGGGAAAAAAAAAAAAAAAGGGAAAAAAAAGGAAAAAGAAAGGAAATCAGATAGTTAGCAACAGCCAGGATTATTATTTCTTTATTAATATTTGAATGATTAATGCTTTATATCAACAGGCTTGTGAAAAAGAGGCAAACAGATGAGGCACAGTCCTTAATGGGGTGAAGCTGCGGAGATGTGATTGCATGCAAACGAACAAC